CCATCTGCTTCAAGGTTTGATGAGATGCTCTTCTGCATACCTTGGTTTTCATAAGTGATTATTTGAGTTGACTGTTGCCCTATTGTCTTGTGATCGCTGACATCAACAAGGCATTTTTCACCCACACAAATGGCACTCACTGGAAATGTTCTCTTTTTCAGACCATTCTTTATAAACTGTAGTGATGGTTGTGTAGGAAAATCCCAGGAGATCAGAGTGTAAAACACTCAGACCAGCCTATTTGGCACAAACAACAATGCCACATTCAAAAGTCACTAAAATCGTCTTTCTTTCTCATTCAGATGCTTGATTTGAACTTTGACAGGTCAGGTTCACCATGTCTGCATGAGTAAATTCATTAAGTTGCTGCCATGTTTGGCTGAATCAATATTTCCATTAATGTGCAGTTAAACAGGTGTAGTTAATGAATATTTCTCTGTTACATAGGCTTACTGTCATTCTTTTTAATAAAGTGAATTAATAAGTCAATACATTTTAAAATAAATAATTTCAAGAAATATTAAATGTTATACCTCATAAAGGATTAATATTTATTAACTAACTAACTAAATGCAGTGCATGTGCAGCCTGAGAGAGTGTAAGGCTATTTTTAAAGGCGATTATTAAAGGTACATTTATTAATCTCAAAGAATATTCTTGTTTTCAACACAGCAAAAAGACCATGCTTTGAACCAGAGAAACACCACATGAGAGAGTTAAATGGTATTTATATGCTTGCCAACATTTTTGCCTTTGTGATGTGATGAAGGAGTTAAAGTCAGACATTCAGAGGTGTGATTCCTCTGTGTGTGTGTTTTTGCACATGGACTAACCTCCATCTGTGTCAGTGACGTCAGCCTCGGCCTGTTCAGGTACAGCTGCTCCTCCAGGGCCTCAGAGGGAAAGAAATGTCCGCCCGGCAACGCGGCAGAGAAGCTGACATTCAGGATTCCTCCGGGTGCCGCATCCAGATCCGGTTGAATGTTGAAGATGAAAACATCCTCAACAGGAACTGAGAGAACAGCGGACACACCTTCCAAGAAGGTTCCCAGCAGTGGTGACAGGAAGTGCTCCTGGGACATGTTCTGAAGGCGGACAGTGACACTGCTGCCCAACATGTCCTCTGTGATAATGAGGACGCGGAGAACACACTGAGCCGAAATGCTGTGGACGCCATCTGAAGAGTTGAAGAAGATAGCAGAGGGCAGCCAGTTAGGTGAACGGATAGAAGAGGAACTTATGCAGGTTATAAGGAAATTGAAAGAGAGAGAGAAAGTCAGAGTTGCACAGTCAGTGACCAGGATGTGGACGGGGCACAGAGTGAGAGAAGAAACTTTGAGAGGAAGCTTCAGAGGAAGAGGTGAGGAACGACAGAGACGACAGAAGAGCAGAGATATTCACCAATGCAAAGATAAAACAGGAAGTAGTCACAACCGTGTTAACGTAATGTAATTAATGTAATTTTATGTTACTTAAATTGATTAAGAGTGGGAGAGAAAGTCACAGGTAACTGAAACTACCAGTGCTTCTGTGTCGATGATACCACAGACACTACGTTTTCTATCACTGGACTGGGACTGAAGCTCATTGGCTGATCTTGATAAAAGGTGGAGTTAATTTTAGTTTTATATTCATGTAACAAAAGTGGTGTTTACAATCCATTCACACCAAAGGTTACCATGAGGTGCAGGTCACTAGAAGTAGATTTGACAACATATAAAATATATAAAATATTCTAGCTGTATGACAGTACGGTCTGAGGGAAGCAAAAACAGCTCATGCAAAAACATAAATAATCCTTATTTGCCTTAAAATATATTGGAATTGTGACATTAGAACTCATATAAGAAGGAGGAAGCTTTGATGTCTTAATGTCTAAGCAGGAACATATCTGATCCACTGGATTCATTGAATTGTTTAGATACAACTCTTTATAATATTGTTTACAGTTAATGTTTAACTGTATCTTTTTCTTTACATATTTAAAATTTAATTAAAATTAACCTAATTTCTAATATTTTAATGACATTTAACCTAAAAATTTTTTTACTTACTATGAGATAATTACATTATTTACACTTTCTTTTACATTTGCGGTTCACTGACAGTTTCTCACACAGATATCTAACAGATAAATTAGTACTGTATGACATATTATACAGTATTATAATAGTATTATATATGATCGTCTAGTTACAAGAAAATGAGTTTATGGAGCCTGAATATAGCAGTCTGCTTTGACACCACCTAAGTTATTGTAATAAATATTATATTTTTTTTTTATCCATAACAAAATTTCAACAAATAAATATGCAAAGATGGAAAGGTGAGGGCAGCGGCATGAGGACCCCAGGGGAAAAACAAAAAGGCAGGCATCTGTGACAACCGATATGACACTGATTAAGTCAGTTATAGCATTAAAGGAGCTGGAGCGAAGGTGAGTAGCAGAGGCAACAGCGACTGCAGGGAAGCTTAAGCAACTTAAATTTGTGAGTCCCATGGTAAAACAGGAAGTACCGCTGATATAGGCTGGCCTGGCAGTCAGATCAACCGTTATTAGGTGATTTGTGGTCTGCTTGAATGTCTAGGTAAGCACTGGAGGAAACAACTGGATTACATGTACTGGGAATGGTAAAATATGACTGACTTATGGTGGTGCTGCTGGTTAGAAATACAAAGCACAGAAGCCCCACACTGTGTTTTTTAGAGTATTAAAATCCTTGGTTTAGCTGGTCTTAGCAAAGGTTTTTTGTCTAATAATTAATGTTGCCTTTAATATTGAACCAGCACCACTAATCTTTCTAAGCTTAAGCAAATTCATAACATCAAATATGAAAAATCTGATACAATGAGGGTATATGTTGCAGAGACGATGAGTATGAACATGGGCAGCAGCTCCACATAAACTCTTTATTTTTTTGCATTAGCTTTCACTGACACTTGCTTAATCCTGTGGAGACAGCATGACACAAAGTATTTTAGTGCTTCTTTTTCGCTCTTCTTACTTCCACTACAGCCCCAAAGATCAAACAGCATGGCTGTAGACACTCTCTATTGCCGTATGTGTGAATGTAGTCATCATCTGTGAACCTACATGTCAGGCATAAGATGTGGTGATAGGAGATTTGCAGCATAAAAGTGCTGAATCCTCTGAGGTCCACTTTAGTCTCTGGAAAGGATGATGCAATTCATTATCATGTGTTACAGTTAAGTAAGAGAAAAGTGATCCTCTGAAGTCTACATTTATTTGTGAGTCACACAGAAGGTGGCGTGCAAACTGAGCGTTCTCATGTAGGGAAGCGTTGGGTTTCGATCTTCCCACACTCAGCTTTAGTTACAGATTCGACAGGGCACTCCTTTCGCTGGGAGTCCACAAAATGAGCTCATTGGAAGCGCAGCAGGTCACAGCCCTCACAAACACCCATTTTATTCGCAGACACGAAGTGTGTTTAATCTATACTGGATGTACTGCTGGGCGGTGTTGTATGCTGTAAAGCAATTTGGTCCAACAAGCTGGCAAATAAGCCATAGAGGGACACAAATGCACACAAACACAGCATAAGAAAGCAATACACGGAAAAAATGACAG